AGAAGTCTGCAATCGTGCTGGTGGCCATCCTGTTTTCCGTGGAGAAGTCTGCAATCGCGCTGGTCGCCATCCTGCTTTTCGTGGAGAAGTCTGCAATCGCGCTGGTGGCCACCTGGTGTATGTTTTACGTTCCGATGGATCTAGCTAGTTGCAGCGGTCGTCACTATATCGCATAACGTGCTCGGCCTTCCTCATTTCCCGGGCGTGAGCATCGGCTTGCCTGATCTTCGACCATTGGTGAGCACGAAACTCCGGTCTTCCCCTCTGCACTTTCGTGTATTGGTAAATCAAGCATTGCTATTTCCAAAACGTCCGAGTTTCTACTGCAGAATGACGGTTTGTGCATGTTGATGCTGCCTGCATGGAGCATAAGCCTCTGAGGGACTGTCAAGGCAGGAAGGACCGTGGTGTCCAAAAATTGGAGTGCGGAGCTGGATGTTCTTAGTACTCTTCACCACTGCCTTCCACTGGAATCTCAGTACTGTCTCTGTCGGGACTGCGATATTTCATGTCCCAGCGGCAAGCCCATAGAAATCCAATAGGCGAATGGAACACGCTATAAGGATAGATTTGTATCCTTCTAATGTACCGCAGCGGTTTCGGCTTCATAAAAAATCCTTGTTTTACACTGAGAATTTATAACTCGCGTCCTCTATCTCAAATCACTTCGAGAAACTTCTCAGAAACTTTGAATAGACACATCGATTCCATTTAAAAGGGTTAGCCGAATAGAACTCAAAAAAACTTATATTGATCACTAGCTGATCATGCTCTTAGTAACCAACGAGATAACAACACGTCTGCCATATGAACAAGCAGTATTGGTAAGTACCGAGCAATACAGAGTGCCACCACTTCGTTCCACTACTCCGACCACGATGAAGACATTGTTGGTGATTGCAATTTCGGCGATACGTCGAGATTCAGCACCATTTTCTTCGATAGCTGAGTTGAAGTACCTACAACATACCCTTCTATTCTGGATTTTTAGCCCCACGAAGTGTTAGAGACCAACACATATAAGAAAGTATAAGTAGCATATGAGGAGAACGAGGATCGGTCCATTTCGTGATAGTAAATTACTACGGCCAGAGATTGCGATTCTATAGGGGATTCCGAGGAGAACGTCCGTTGCGCGCGTTCGTCGAAAGTAGGTCACCCCGCCCAATTCGCACGCGGCGCCCACCACTGAGGTCTCGAGACGACATTACAGTACCACCACGTGTCGGTGGAGCGAGTGATTTGCATTTGTAAGTGTTATCTTCTCTTTGGCTGACTGTCATGGACCAAGCGCAATTCATATGCCCCGCTGACAACTGCGACGTTTGTCAAAAATCGTGGGCTGACGCGTCGCATGCGACGGCTGCGGCGTGACCTAGTTTCGACGGACGTGCGCAACGAAGCACACCCGGGATCCCGATATTACTCGACAAAGGGCCAGCCCAACCTTCAATAATCAGGTATACCGGCCGATGATTTATCTACGTCATCATCAATATAGCTTCTCAAGAAATTTTTCGTGTTCGCGGGAACTTGATAATTGGAGAAAACCGTGAGAACGTCCAATAAAGAAGTATTGTAACGAATAACAATGTTTCAGCCACTGCAGCGCGAGATCATTCACAGGGACAGAGAAGTGACTCACTTGCTAAACTCTTCACGGCCTTCCATTGAACGTGTTCCGAGAACGATTCCAAAATCGGAGCCTTTAGGGTAACCACCAATAAACGCTTCTGAAAACAGTGACCTCACATGAAACATCCGTCAACTAGTGAATGCACAAACCTGGAAATAGCACCAATTTTGCTCCTTTGTCTGTAGCTTCTTTGGTAAGCCGCTCAAGTTTGTCCAATGTCGCAGGTGTATCGTATAAAATGGAGCCCGCTTGAACTATTGCAATCGACATCTGAAACAAAACGCTACTGGATCAGAGATACGAAGGTCAATACAAAAAAAGAATTGGAACCCTCTTCAAGACCTAGGAGTAGGAAATAGAAATCAGCAAAAGAACAGGGGTTCTACTGTGAACTGAACAGAGAGCAAGTGGGTAAATTAGAAAATCGACATGCATATTACTTCTGAGACAGGTTGACTGTAAAGATGAGAGTCGATATCACGAACAGAGCACTGACCGTACTTTCAACAGATGGATATCGAAATTATCAGCTTTTAACTGAGTGGATATGGTCGTGGGAGGTTCATTTCGTAACATCAGTTCACTGACCGCCGGTCGTACAAGTGTACGATTTTTTGCAAACTGACTTCCATAGTCTACTCATATGATAAATCGAGGGAGGGAATTGAGGACTGCTTCAATGGGTACGATTTTTAGGAGGAACTGTACCGTTGGAGCACCAAACCGAACCGTGGATCTTAAACAGAGCCTGATAGATGTATTGCGTTGACGCTTAAATTATATACCATGGAATTCAATGACATCGATGCCATGGTCATATAAAGAAAAAGTTAAAGAAGAATGATCAGTGTTCGGAAAAACTGATTACTACAACTTAAAGATACGTCCCCGAATTTGATTCGATTAGGAATCATAGTGACGCTGGATGCATTGCCGATTCACTTGCCAATTTTGCTTACCAAATTATTAACAGGGATTAACCTATCCAAAAGGCGCAGTGGTTTTCTACCACAACTAGACAAATATCCGATGAATTCCCTCTCATTAGACCTTTCAGAATTAGACTCGATATGAAAATTTGTGACTTTTGAACAAACGAAAGGGAAAAACATGGCAGTATTAGTTGCAAAAGTTTTGATCAGAACAATCAAGCGGAACGTTGGACAGAGTTGGTCGCCGTTTATGAGAGAAAATCATAAATTGACCGTCGGCCGCTGTTCTTGTTCGACCGCACGTAATACCGATCGATTTTTCAATCTAAACGATGAGCCGTATTATACAGACAGCTCAAAAGCACAGAATACGCTGAAAATGTATTGTGGTTTGGTAGTTTTTAAGTTTCCTATCAGCATGGACCTGTGGCCCCCACGAATAGCAATGGGGCATTGTCGGATCAATAAAGGACCTCGACACGTCTAATTAGAGCCCTGAAACCGGCCCAACAGATGTACGCGCCCAAAGGTGGTTGGTTATGACGGCCTTATTGAAGATGAACCATTCACAGTAAAGCGTTAGGAAGCCGGCGAATAGCACGCTAATGTGGGAGACAGCCGGGCGATTACAGACACAACTATCTCGTACATCCTATTTTGCACTATTTTGCTCCCTGTGTTTGATAGAGACTTAGAAATCATCGTGAACTGTGCCTCCAGATGAGAACGTAATATGAGGTCAAGTCTCAAATTTTCGGAAAACCAGCTACCTCGAGCCTCTCCATATTTAGGAATAGCTAGAAGCCAGTGATAAGGTTCCTCTTGAGACTTTCCCCGTCCCTGTGAACAAGACTTCAGCAGACACGCCCAAGTTTAGCTCAACTAAATGGCTAATTAGCCGATTATCACCATCGTTATAAGGTGCGGTGTAGAAGGACGCGATGAGAAACTGTTATCCCTTAGTTGTTCAATGAAAAGCGACAAAAAACGAGACTGCTTCGTCTCTGCGAGACTTTTAAAGGAATTATCGCTTAGTTTCGTCATCAGCACATTGACGAAAAATACAGAGGACTTGTTGGCCTTTTCAGAACAGTGCCAGAGAGACCGGCACATTACATCTTATTTACCAACTGGAATTCCTGCTCTCAAAAAGCAGGTGACATTTCATAGGTTACGCAAAATACTCTATAAATATCAGCAACACTTGTATAAATCAATTTATAAATTCCGAATGTTTCTCACTCGGACTTGAAGATGCTTTTGTCCAGGCTAGTAGACAGTGTGCGACATCCATTCTTACAGGTTAGCTATTCCCTAAGAAGATCACTGATGATGATTGATCAAAGCTCACCTGAAGACGGATTTACAAAGACAGTAATTCATTTAATTGCAAGCGAATTCGCTATGAAGAAAAGCGAGCCAGATCTACAGCATCGCGCAGTTTGCGGGAAACCTTCCCAAGCGGAAATCGTAACGTTACATATAAGGCTAACAGAGTCCATCTGTAATGTGCTCATATAATAATTGTGTTAGGCTTGAGCTCTATGATTTTGCAGTTTTAGCCCTGGAGCATAGGGCGTAGAAGGTTTTTGACCGAAACTGATCACAGATAGCAGGTTGATAAGGGGACATTCACACACTTAATCACAGATCTTTTCTTGACTCATATATACTTTATTTTAGGCTAATTTACGTTCGGTGAGGTTTGTTTTGTCTTCGGATCGGAAGAGCTGAGTAGATCTCGTTCTCCACCGTTTTTCAGATTTAAATGATGAAAGGTGGATTGTCAGGGGTTATAAGCCAAAGCTTTCTAATTTTTGTTCAAAGCTTTTCGAGCTATGTATTCATACGGAAGTTAGGTTTGAAGAGTATTGCTGGAAACAGAAGCATATTGATGATACCAGCAAAAAGCAAAGAAAACCAGAATTATATAGGAAAAACCTGTTCACCACACTCATGCCTTATGATTTCAATAAATATGATCAAAATCGTTTTCTGATCTAGGAATGACTTTCATGTTGTGGGACATAACCTATGGCGAAGTGTTTATCAACATGGGTGACTCCCACTATACGCAAAGTTTACATCCTCTAGGACAAAGTTGCTTCTTTTGCTCTTCAGTGTAACCATCATCATTGCAGAATCCTTGTTCAATGTGATATGGACAGCTGAAAAAGCACAAGATACCATATGAAATCTCTGTCGATAGAAACTCTTACCTCGGATGATCCGTTGTCGTGCATGGTGGAGGAGCTGTGGAGGGGGTAGGGGCAGTCGACGATGGCGTTTTGGTGCTTGANGTAGTTGTAGATCTTTCAATCGTTTTCCGATGTGTTGAAGAAGATGGCCGAGGCTTCGCTGCCGGAACTGAATCGTCGACTGAACTAAGCGAATGCATTTATTGAAGGTCAACTCATTTACCGTGCCGGAAACGTAAAACTGTTGTTGATCTTGCGATTTTGTTCCATGTTATTATTGGAACACGATTACTGGATGAAACAAGTGTTTTTCCAGCATCTTGGGGAGCACAGAACCTAAACGAACGACTAAGGAGCAGGTTCCAATTAATTCCGTGAAACACCCTGGCTATGTATACCGTGCATCAAAGTAAAGAGCGCGCCAAGCAGAATTATGAAATTCTTCAATCAGGGCTCCACTTCTCGAGAATAAGACCTTTGGGCTGCGATGGGATCGAATAATGAATCTATGCGGAAAGCACAGCCAAGTGTGAAGACGCCCGCTCACCGCGAGTGGGCCTCCGTCGTTCCACTCGTTGACTCATCCTCCCCTGAGCTTGTTTTCTCTGGCGTTTGAGCTGTCTTCGAATCAATTTGGGAAGTTTTGCAGGAAGACCTTCACCAGCTCTACACCTGCTCAACACGCCCTAGACCAACAATTTTCATAAATAATTTTCCTGGAGTGCCGCCTACTTCGACACCGTTGCGCTCAACGCGAACGGGCCCCTTCGTCTGATTTGTTGGCTCATTCTAACCTTCGTTTATTCGACTACGAAAACTTTACCTGAAACCAGTAAGTTTCTGATCTTCATTTGTCTTGATTTCAACGCCAGTGAATATACAACCGTCGACAGCCTGATGACCCACGAGGCTCACAATTTCTACCACAATATCGGTGTTTTCCGGAGACTGAAAAAGGGCTTCGTATCTGTGACCGGCCTCACTTACAACAAGCGTTATTTAATTTATAATATATAATTTTGCAATTTTTTTTTTGAAGGCAGACCCGACGCGACACACCTTTTCACCCAGCTGACCCTTTGCAAATTGTCAAATCTCCTAGGCTTGGCTAGAAATATTTAGCGTACTTCGATCCAGTAGTAGCATTTGGTGTAATCTTCCAGGGGCTGCCATACTCCATAGTTTCCTAAAACATCTGTCAGTTCTTTCCACTCTGGCGTTGCATCGATTTTGCTCCCGCATCCTTCATCAGGCTGAACAAGGTAGCTGAACTCTTGTGTTTTTTTAAATGAGAGGTGTTTTCTTACTCTTTCATTACACGTATCTCCAGCATATCCTCCAGGACAGACACATTTAGAGCAGTCGTTTGGATTGGGGAAACCGCCCATTTCACACTGCGCTGATTTTGTAGCTTCACAGATTTCTGAAATTGTGCCTCTCAGATACAGTCCGTTCAGCAGACAAACTCTCTAAACCATTCTGAGAATCGCGCTCTTCCATAATAGCTTACAAATGTTGTAAAAGACTTGGGGAATTCAATGACTCTGTCATGATTTTAGCGACTAACTTTTGCATCCATAGAGTTCATTGACCATTGACAAGTCGATGAAGGACATGAAATGCGAACCAAGCGTCTCTTGATAGTCAATATTGAATGGCACCATGGTCGGGACTTGACGGTGAATCCCAGCACTGCAAAATGCCCTTATCAGGAAGAGAGAAGCTCTTCAATTGTTCTATACTATACGCTGTCACTTAAGTAGATCATGTACAGTAACTCAGCCTTTTGCGTTCGGGACGCCTAAAATTAGGAAAAGCTGTGGCTTTGAATTTCAGAGAAGATGGGAAAAGCGGTTTCATTCAGAATTTGGAAGAACATACCCGTATTGAGGGAAGCGCCACCCAAAGGGATTCTGCGGTTTAGCATCATAGGTGTCAAAAAACACAAAAAGATTGCGGTTTGGAAATGAAATTCGGCCGTGACGACTATATAAGGCTGTAGGGTCAGTTAAGAAAATGCTAGCTTCACTCTTTCCATCTCCCTTTCGTCACTTTTATTGGTTTCTTATCAATGAGTGGACTCTTGATTGTGCTTACGAATATATAATAAATATAGTTTTGGTCTAACATAAATATTATATAATAAATAGACGAGCCTCCTTCCACCGTAGTGCATAATGCTACCATAGTCGTAGGTCAGGTTGAAATTGTTGTTCGTTTGTGGCGTCTGCCTCGCAAATTGGCTAAGCCAGGAAGGCTGGAAAGAATGACACTAAATATTGTCACTTCAAAGGGCTCCATTACGTTCCTTTTCTTTACCTGGATATTGCCAAGGTTCAAGGTGATGAAGTTGTCGCGATCGTATCTCGCCATGGTATGCCAGAAACCAATAGTATGGCCAATCTCATGGGCAGCAATTCCGGGCACGTCACAACCAGTTCCTAGTGATATTGTCTGTTCTCCTCCTATTTTTCCTAGCCTTGACCAACATCCTCTTCCTGGTTCCACTTTGACTCGATCTTTAGCTGAAATTATCTCTCTCTCTTCAAAACCATCTGAGAGGAGAAGTCCTGTAAGATAAAGCTTTGCCCCCCTATCTACTCATGCCTCCTCTCCGATTGGAATTAGCGTTTGAAGAATTAATTCTCTAAATTCCTACTGAACCTCTAGACCCCTTCATATTAGACAAGGGGTTAAGTAGTCATAAACGAGTTATCGGAGTTGTAAACGGGATTAAACGACTCTCAGACGATTCAGATACGCACCAGAAAACTAAAATCGTTCACATGCCTTCCTGCTCTTACCTTGATTATTATATGTGAATTTGAGGCATGAGTATTTTTGCCACATATCTGCTCCCACCATGAAGGCTCGCTTTGCTCTTTCACCTGCAAAATTTGCATTCGACATACTAGCTTTATGTTTATTATTCGTTCAGTAGCTGAAAGCCTCATGACTTACTCAGATAACCAGTAAAGTAGTAATTTACTCCCTCTTTCCACAACTTGTACCCAGACGGATCTGCTAATGCCTGACGCTTCTTGCGATCGGTGCCCTCCACCAGTTCATCAATATCATCAAGTACGATTTTAGCTTGTTCCCTCAAAACGTTAACTTCTGCCTTATTCAGAAATAGCTTGATTTGATTGTTAATGCATACTCTGTTAGAAGAATGTCGCTTTGGAAAAGCTGATCCCCAACATTGCTTTTTTCATTGACTTGGTTAATGGAATCTCCCATGGGGTTGACCTCGTCGTACATGATCTGAGGTAGAGCCTGAAATGCTTACTTAATGAACCTTACGCTCTCGAGATCTACAGATATTTCCCCTTTCCTTATGCAGGCTGCCTTTTTTCACTTCCCATCTGAGTGGTGGCTGCTTTCATAGTCCGCAGGCGTGCGTGCCGACGTGCCGAGGCAGTGCTAAGGGGGAGGAGGGAGGCAGACAGTCGGTCAGCCCCTTGGAAGGGCTGAAAACAAAGAAAACAAGATCAAAAATCAAACCATCAGGGGCATTGGCGAATGGTTTTTGATCTTGTCTCTCTTTGTTTATAGCCTCCGTACTGGCTGACCGATCGTCTGCCTCCCT